TCCCCTAGTCCTTCTTTTCATTAAACTAAACCCAGTTCCTGCAACCGTTCTTCACCTGTTTTATCCTCCAGTCCCCTAATCATCTTTGTTGCTCTTCTTCACACTCTTTCTAGAGTCTCCACATCTTTTCTACATCGTGGCGACCAAAACTGAATGCCGTATTCCAAGTGTGGCCTTCCCAAGGCCTTATAAAGTGGTATTAAGACTTCACGTGATTTTGATTCTAAGCTGTTTTTAACAGCTTTTTTAAGCTGTTGAAGGCTTTTGAGCAGAAAACCAACAACTCGGATTGGGCCTGGAATTCAACTAGCAAACATTTCAGGTCTTTCCACACAGGAATAATTGACCTGCCAGTAATTTTAAAAAAAGGCTGTGAAGAGCTCCAGAAGTAGCTCTTAAGGAGAACGCATGTAGCTCAGAGTTGAAATGAAGGCTCCTTGATACTCTCTGATCTTGGTGGTTTTCTAGCAAAGTTTCATTGCCCAAACTATGCAACATCATCTGTTTATGTAAGCATAAAGTTATGTGTGTCGGGGCAAACCCCTAACCTCGCCCAGATGCTAATTAGGTAGTGTGTCTGTCATGGACCACAAAGAAAACCATGGAGTCTTAAGCGGAGGACTTGGTGAAGATGGGACTTAGTGTGGGAAAGAGAAATTCCCGTCGAAGGCCCTCAACAAGGAAAGGGGTTGAAAATGTCTATGTACACGTTACGGAAGAAAGGTGACTTAAGGGAAATATGGCTGTAGCCTGTAGTTTGGAGGAAGTGGGCAGGGAGAAGATTTTGTACAGAAATTCAGATGAAGGGTTTTCTTCACACCACATAGAATTAACCTGGAGACCTCATGTCCACTACTCACCTCAGAGGGGGTTTGGGCAGCATGAACATAGAATATCTATTGATCCTTCTCACCATCGCAGTCATAGAAAAACTTCCCTGAGGTGCGAGGCTGTAGACGTCCCTTCCCAAGACGGAGGAAAAAACAATCCGTCTCCTGCTATTGAAAAGCTGAGTGGGACCAGCTTGGTTTCTACAAGTCTAAAAACTCTTTTGGGGGGTGGGTGGGAGAGCTTTAATGCAACACAGAAAAAAAGAGAAGCACTATCCCATGCTTCAGGGACTCCTCATTGTATATAAAAATAGCTATATCCCTACTGAAATGCAAAAAATCCCCAAAACAACTCCACTCAACAATGAAAATCTTGAATGCATTTGAGTTAATGGAAAAAAGGGACATTGCCATAGATGTAAACCACAGACCTCCCAATCAGACAAAGGAAATACCTTTTGATAACCAGTTAACTAAGGCGTTCAAGAAGCACACTGGAACACTTCAGCTATGCCGATATCAACTGGGAGGCAAACTGCACTTAGTGGGAGGCTCAAGCAGGCTCCTGACAAACCCAGCAGATATCTTTGTGTCTCAAAAGGAGGAGAAGGGAACTAGGGGGTCAGCCCTACTGAGCTTAATTCTTACTCACGGAGATAAAATAATAGAAGGGGTTGAAATTGGGGGAAGTCTGGGGTGGGGGGTGACTATGTCATATTGGAATTCAACATAATGCAGATACAAGCAATAGGACAAAATCAAATACCTTAGACTTTAAGAGAGCTGAATTTAATAAACTTAGAGCTGGCTATAATAAACCTTCTAAATAAATACTTGCGCTCAGTCTTCTCAGAAGTAGATGCCGCTAACAAACACAGGCAGGAGGAGCGTGCCAGTCCCGGCAGTGCAGCCCAGGGCTTAATCCCCGGGCGGTTCAGTGGATTAGGAAGTTGGCTCAGGGATAGATCCCAGAGTGCGGTGGTGGTTAATGGGCTGCCATCTGAACAGAGACCCGTCAGAGGCAGGGGTCCACAAGGCTCAGCCCCCGGTCCTGTTCTGTTCAATGCGTTTCCCAGTGATGTAGCAGAAGGTGTGGCTAGATAAGGTTTGCTGGTGATGCAGAGGGGTGTAATAGAATTGTCGTCCCTGGAGATATTCATAACATGAAAAATGATTTGGCATTGCAGGAAAATTGGTCAAAAATGTAGAATGCAGCTCAAAGTTTCCAAATATAAGATCATGCACTTGGGGGGGGGGGGAGAGTCCTCTGGCAGTGCTCAGTATTGGTGGGTACAACAGAAGGAAAAGATGTAGGCGCACTCCCAGCAGACAACCACGACATGGGCAAAGGGTGTGAAGGCCAACCAAATTCTGGGATGCATCACTAGAGGGGGATCCCAGCAGGAAGAAAGAGGTCCTAATCCGCTATGTAGAGCTTTAGTCAGACCTCATTTGCAATACTGTGTTCTGGAAACCCCACTTAGAAAAAGATACTGTTAAGGCTGAACAAGTCTAGAGGTGCAAAAATGGCCCAAGGTCTGAGGGACAAAACATACCAGGAGGGATTGGAGGAACTGAATACGGGCAGCTTGGAGGACAGAAGGGAAAGGGACGTGATTGAAGCCGTTAAATATATTGAGCATGTGAATAAGGGTCTAATATTTAAAATATTAAGCAAAGATCAAGAACCACAGGGACTTAACCGCAAACTGGCGGGAGGGAAGTTCTGAAGTAATGCTGGGAAGTAGTAGAAAGAGCGGTGGATGCCTGGAACCAACTTCCAGCAGAGGCTTGTGGGTCAAAAACAAACTCCAGGGGGGCAGACCGATGGTCCACGAGGTCTTCTGACATGGCTCTTTGCAAGCCTGCCTAGTCTGCTCATGTAGGCACATGAGGAGACGCACCCGCTTTCTCCCCCCCCCGGAGACGTTCCCGTGTGTCACTCCCCTGCGGCCTTTGGCACCTACCCCACACCACACCTGAAGTGGAACAGCTATGATAATAGGATGAGAGTACGCAGCCAAGCACAGCAAGGCGTTCCCGTCTCCCAGGATCCGCAGGGCCAGCGTGCCTGTGCTCAGAGGCTGTGGTTTCCCCAAAGTGGTCCATGCAAGATGGGAGCTGGCACCAAGCAGCCGCGTGGTTTTTCCTTCTGCACAGACTCTTCCTAACGGGCACTCGGCACCCTCGGCTGGTCACTGGTTTAAGCTCTTTGCGCAGGGTTGAGGCGGTGGATTGAATTGTATGTGGATTAAACAGGCAGAATTTGCACAGAATGTTGAGAGCCACTGGCAGGCGAAATGAACTCTAATCGTGGTCAAAACTTAACAAAGCCGTCTGAACGTGGCACGACCCACCTCGTGGTCTCATCCTGCCTCCTCTTCCACCTCAGTCCTGAATTCACCACCCAGGAACAGCACTGAGAGGAACTACTTGGGAGGGGGGAAGGCCCCGGAGTTGTGGAGCACCCACAGTCTCACTATTGTTCAGGAGAGAGCCTTGGGTGCCCATTCCCCTCCAAGCCATCTCACTTGCCAGGCCGTGCCTTGGGAGACGGAGGGGGAGTGGGGAGAGGCAGAAGGAGGGGCCAGGAGCCTCCTGCACCCAGGTTCTGCCCTCCAACCTCCCCCTTTCCTGCTTGACAGCTGCTGTTTTCTCCAGATGGTGGTGTAGCCATCTTTGCTTCTGCCTAAGGTTTTTCTGCTGCCTCCCAGTTTGGGGGCTTGGCAGAATTGAATCTCCTTTATCTCTCAAGATACCAACCTAAAGAGGTCTCCAGGGTGCAAAAACCGCCTTTTTTTGGTCAGTGGCACTTTTCACCTGGCCCAGGGATCTGCCTACCCCCCCCCCTCCCCTTTCAGGCCTGCTCTGGCAGGTTCGTTCTGGCAGCCCTTGCCCACCAGTAGGCGTCCTCTGTACAAACCACAGTGGTGTTGAAGCCACAAAGGAAGCCAAATTGCCTGGCTCAAGAATTGGCCTGTCCTTTGAGCTCCAGCAATGCAAGCCAGGTGCTGCAGGGTGGTTTCTCCTTCTGTTGGAGAGTGGTGAGAGCTTCCGTCACGGAGAGGAGCCCCGGCGCCTCGGGGGGGCAGGTTGGCTGGCTGGCTCCCCCAGGCGCCCACCGGCAATGGGAGAGAAGGGCTCACACGCGAAGGGCGGACCTGTGCAAAGAGCCTCAAAGGGCTGCTGTGCCACAACTGGCAAAGTCCTCTGTGGGTTCTTTGACAACTCGCCGTGGGACAAGAATTACACTGAGAAGTGGTGGGATAGAATCATTAAAGACAGGATGAAAGAGGAGGGACAGAATAAAATGTGAATGGCAGAAATTAAAATATTTATATTAAATAATTAAATAGAATTGTTCAATTGTCCCATGGCGAGTTGTCCCATTCTGTCCTCTTTGATGGGAATCCTGCTGGAGCTTCTGCCTGGCATCATTCCAGCCACCTGGATGGGCTGCTGTGGGTGCTGGGGGGAAGTGTGCGTGTGGGCCTGCCCAGAAAGGGGCCATTCCCACAGAGCCCCTTCCCTTGGAGCTTCTCTTGCCGGTGGGCATGGCCTTTTTGGGTGGGGTTGCCCCTCCCTTGGGAGAGGGAGCAGAGCTGCCCCATGAAATGAAGGGATACTGCTTGGCCCAGCCCCTGGGGTCACTCTGGGGACACAAGTGGGGGGGGGGCAGCAGCACATGCACTGAACCAACCAACCGCCCTGTCTTTTCCCCCCACAGAGGCTTCTGCTGTCATGGCTCGCCGGTCGCAAAGCTCCTCCCAAGGGGACAACCCTCTGGATCCCAATTACCTGCCGCCCCACTACAAGGAGTACTACCGCCTGGCGCTGGACTTGCTGGCGGAGAAAGGCAAGGAGAGCTACCACCGGTTCCTGGTGGAGGAGGCGGCCCCGGACTTCCTCTGCCCCTCGGAGGTTGAGCACATCACTCAGCACCTGCAGAAGCCGCAGTTCGCCTCTCAGGAGGGAGGTGGCAGCACGGACTCCAGCCCTCCAGATGCAGACATGGACGGTTCCTCGGGCACTTACTGGCCAATGAACTCTGACCTGGCCGTTCCAGAGCTGGATCTTGGCTGGCCAATGGTCTTTGGGTTCCGGGGAACGGAAGTGACTACTTTGGTTCAGCCTCCACCCCCGGATAATCCCAGCATCAAGGAGGAGGCGCGCCGGATGATCCGAGCTGCCCAGCAGGTGGGAGAGCGAGAGGCAGAGCTGTGAAGTTGTGGTTGTGGAAGGCAGGGGAGGCAGTGGTGGTCAGAAGTTCTACTAGGGAAGAGGAGAAGAAGTGGGCAAAACGGTTGGCTTTCCCCTCCAGATAATCTCACCTTTTCCTTTCAGCAGCCTTTGGGCTATTTCTAGTTCTGGATCTCCCCCCAGAATTGTGTGTGTGCTGTGTGTCTATTCTGACCTGTTGTCTCCTGTTTTCAAAGAGCTCTGGATCTGGAAGTGAGCATTTCAGTTCATGAGTGCAGGTCCACTTCTCAACACAGGAGTCCAGCAAAGAGGGGTGTGTGTGTGTGTGTGTGTGTGTGTGTGTGTGTGTCAAACGACTGGCACTAGGGTTAAATTCCTCTTTCCATTGGGACCTTACACCAGATCCCTCTTTCAAAACCAGTGTTATTCTGATCACCTCCCAACCCTCTGATACAAGAACTAACTGCAGGGACGCCTGTCTCTCTCCATTGGTGGTGCACAGTTTCCCACTTGAATTTGTGGGTGGATCGTTGAGTTGGAAGCTCAGTTTGAAAAGCCTCTGTGAGGGAGGGCCGGCCCACCCACCCACCCACCCAGCCACCACCACCAGCTTTGTAGTCAAACAGCTGTGCTCTTGATGCCTGCTTTCCTAATGTTTCTCTCTGCTCCACTTGGGAAGTTAGGAATCCAGGTTGCCTGCCTCCTTGTTCACCTCCAGACAAGGCTCCGTCTCTCTGCAAATTTGCAGCTTTGACCATAGAGGAAAATCATTGTAAGGCTAGAAGGGACCTTGGAGGTCTTCTAGTCCAACTCCCTGAATAAGACGAGAGTCCTTATATCACCCCGGACAAATGGTTGTCCAACCATGTTTTGCCACCCTTTCCCACTGCACCATCTTCGGGGATTGGCTGGTCCCCCCCCCGTCCCCCCCCGCTTTGCTCTTCCATCCAGAGCTCCTCTAGGGCTCCTGAAGGAGACCGGCCACACAGCTCTCTGCCTCCCTTACTCCTTCCTGCATTCCCTTGTTTGCAAGACGACACACCGAGCCGCAAATGAATCCCGCTTCAGCATAGCTTCTATGATTGAATTGAACTGGGGGGGGATCCTCGGGATGACCCGGAGGCCATTTTTACATCAGGCGCACTGCTATGCGACCCCTCTTCATCTTCACTTCTGGGTTTGAACTACGCTCACGTGAGCCCCGCGCACCCCTCCCCATCCAAGGTTAGATCTATCAGATCCGGCTCGTCTCGTGATCTCCAGAGCCAGAAAGAAGGCTTCTTTTGCAGTTAAGGTTGGGGACACAGGCGTCAGAGCCTTTTCCAAATGAGGCTGGTCTGCACTGTCTCTGGGGTTGGGGGCAGAAAGGGGACAGGTGGTTCTCCAGTCTGACTTTGTGTCCTGGACGTTTGCCCTCCTGCTCCCCTAAACTCAGGGAGAGGGGGGGGGGGTTGGACAGGAGGTCGGGTTGCTGATCTCCATGGACGCTCTCAGCCCCCTTAGACTGCTGCCAGATTTCTGCCTCTGGGCAAGAATAGGTCAAGAGTATCATGTAGTTTGTTTGTTTTGATTTTGAGTTCATTTGGCATTTCCAACTTTTAGTTGATTTGTCTTTAAACATTTTTACCAATCTTTAAGGTGACATGTGCCATCTATAAAACATTTTGTACAAATTCTCTTTATAAGCAGTTGTCATTGTTAATTTATAATTTCATTCCCATAGTTGCTGCCATTTTTCTAATTCTATCGAATATCCCAAAAAAATTGTCCATGCTATCATTGTTTCTTTTACCTGTTCTTCTAGCTTAACACGCAGTAAATAGTTATACAACTTTTTAATCACTCGCTCTTCTGTTCCTGTAAGTATCTCATCCAATTCTGTTATCTCCATGTGAAAACCATATAATTTAGTATCTTTTTCATATCTAGATTGTATCTGCAATTGTGTGTACCAAACCATATTAACCCCTTGTTCTTCTAATTCTTGTTTCTTTTTAAGTTCTCCCTTTTCTGTTAAAATATCTTTATATCTAACAATGTTTCCCGTATTAATAATATTCGGATGTATTACACTTCCATTGTCGAAAGCCAAGCTGGTATCTTCAAATAGTGTTTTTCTCTAACTTTCTCCCATACTAATAATAAAGCATTTCTTATATAATGTGTTTGAAAAAAAACCATGTATATTTTCCCCCATACCATAGGAAGACATGCCAACTCAACTGTAAGCCATGTCCCTCCAATGTTAATAACCTTGTATTTCTCAGTACAATCCATTCTTTCATCCATAATAACACTGCTGCTTGATAATATAGTTCCTGATTCAGTAACCCAAACCCTCCTCTAATTCTTGCATCTTGTTATATTTTTAGATTAATTCTCACTTTTCCCCCTTGCTATATATATTTCACTATTATTTTGTTGAGATTTTCAAAATATTTTTTCTCTAACTTTATCGAGATTGTTTGGAATGAAAAGAGCAATCTTGGTAAAATGTTCATCTTAATTGTTGCTATTCTTCCTATTAAGGATAGTTGCAAATTCTTCCATCTCTCCAAATCTACCTCAGTTTGTCTTATTAATTTATAGTAATTGTCTTCCTTTATTGTTACACATCCCTGCTGTTAATTGAATTCCTAAGTATCTTACCTTTTTAGTAATCTGAATAGCTAGCTTTTCCATTAACTCCCTTTTCTGTTTCTCTGTAACATTTTTCACTAATATTTTCATTTTTTTCTTTGTTAATTTTCAACCCTGCCACTTCACCATATTCTTCTATTCAGTCTAATAGTTTTGGCCCTGTTTCTTGCCGATCTTCTAAAATGAAGACTAAATCATCTGCAAATGCCTGTAATTTATATTCTTCTTTTTTAATTGTTTTTAATTTTTTTCATTTTTAAAATAGTTCAAGTTTGTCAAGATCCTTCTGTATCTTGAGCCTATCTTCTGGAGCGATGGCTATTCTTGCTGAGGTCCCCATTTATCCCCTCATCCAAATCATTGATGAAGATGTTGAAGAGTACTGGGCCTAAAACAGAACCTTGGGGTACTCCACTGCATACTTCCCTCCCTATTTTATGCATTCTAAATACTGAAATATATGACACAAAAGTCATATTTCTTGTTCCAAGGAAATGTTTTGTGTTCTTTGAAGATTTTCAGGTTAGGGGTAGGGTTCCTAAATGTTTAAAAGATTCCGTATAATCTCAGGAAGGGTGGGGGGGATAAAAATACAGGAAATTTTCAGGTACAGATAGAACAGAAGAGGACGGAAGCTGTAGCCAGTTTGAAAGTCTAGCGAATGACGCTGCGTGCCGGGCTCTCTTAGGAAGTGACTCTTTAAGAAATAAGAAGCGGTTCCTGGGCCCTTAACAGCTTTATCTCATTTGGACTTCCCTAAGTAAGATATTTTTTAAAATGTCTACAAGATCAGGGTTATCGTTCCCGTAAATTGACTTCCAGTTCTTAATCAGTGCTTCAGAACAGTTTTGAGAATAAAAATTAAACAGTGATTTATATGAGGGTTGTCATCAACTTACAACCCACAATTGAGCCCAAAATTTCTGTTGCTAAGTGAAATAGTTTTAAAGTGAATGTCTACAGTTGTTTAGTAACTTGGTTGTTAAGTGAATCTGGCTTCCCCACTGACTTTGCTTGAGCCAGTTGCCAAGCGTCTGAATTTTGATCGTGTGATTGTGGTGACGGCAGCAACGGTCGTAAGTGCGAAAAGTGGTCCTAGGTCACTTTTTTCCATGCTGTTGAACCTTCAAACAGTCAGTAAATATAACTTCTTGTTGTCAGTAGAGGACTAACTGTAATATGATATTATGTATAAAAACTGCACTGATTCTCCACAGAGCACAATCTTTATAACATTTACAAAATTCACATTTATAAAAATGGAAATGTTGGGCAAAGCTAAAAGTGTTCAATATTCCTGTGGCTTTTCCTAAGGTTTAATCTAACTTCCGCACCCAGAACCTGGGCGATATATCTTGTCAGTGGCTATGATTGCACCTGGGCAATCTCTCCCCAGCACGGCATGGTCACTGTCCTCTCCAGCAAAGCTGCTTTAAGGTCTGTGCGGTTCCCAGGGCAGAGCGACACGGCCTGCCTCCGCTCTGTACCTCTGAGACCTCCAAACAGACATTCCCGGGGGTTCCTCGAAGGGAGAGCCGGTTTCCTCGGGTGCTGTGGGTTCGTAGGCCAGCCAGCGGAGACTCGGGGTGTCCGGCCTGGGGAAAGGGAGCTCAGACAGTATGGCTGCTGCTGCTGCTGCTGCTGCTGCTCTCGTCTTATCAAACTCAGGCAGAGGAAGTCTGGATGGCCGAGTGTCACACAAGGGAAGGCCGAGCCTGGAGCCAGCCAGCCTATCTGTCTGGGGTTGTAATCTGAGCGTCTTCCTACTCCCTCAGGTGGTTGCTATCGTCATGGATGTTTTCACCGATGTGGACCTCTTGAGTGAGGTACTGGATGCGGCTGCACGCAGAGTTCCCGTGTATATCCTGCTCGACGAGATGCACGCCCAGCTCTTCCTGGACATGGCTGCCAAATGCAGAGTGAACCTCAACTTTGTGGAAGTGAGCACAAAAATGGGTCCGGAGGGATTTGGAGAGGGCAGGACAGATGCCAGCTGAGGGAGCAGCCCTCAGTCGGAGGGCTCAAGTGAGAGACCCCACTGGAGGCAGATCTGTAAAGCCAAAGGAGAAGCTTCTTTCATGGGGACAAGGAGCCTGGTTAATCTTTGCCTGAAATGGCATAGGGTCTCCTGCTTGAGCAAAAGGTTGGATTGCAAGACCTCCGAGGTCCCTTTCAAGTCTTCTGTTGTTCTGTCAATTTCTTCCTTTTGGCCAATGGCTCTCTGCTGTAGCCGGTAAGCATCAACGCTTGGGGGCTGGTTGTGTACAACATAGGCTGGCCATAGGCCAGCTAGTGAAATGTAGCATACTGTCAGCCCCTTAACGTGGCTCTATCTAATGTTAGGTTCACTATGTTGTGGGAACCCAGAACATTGGACCGAGTAAATCATGATTTGATAAAAGTAGGAAAGTGTGTTTTGAGAACACAGGGCGACATCTTATCTCATTCCAAGGGACATTGCCATACTGAGTGCACACTGGAAATTTCTGGTTGTCAGTCTGTGTGCCAGTTTCAGAAATAATTTCTCATAGGGGGGAGAAGTTTACCAGATATAAGGAAGAGTTAAGAGCTGTTTCACATAAAGTGAAACAACATCACATCCTCGGGAACAGGCAGGATTCTTTTTTTCACACACTCCCACCCCACCCGCTCTGATCCTGCTCTGGTCGAAGGTGAGAGCCACTCGAGCCTCTTGAGCAGGACGGAAGCTGCCAGGATGGATGCTCGAAGGGCCAAGAGGGGAAATGTGGGGACCGATGCTGGACTGGAAGCGAGGTCGGGCCGAGTGAGAACGTCCTCGGGTGCCTGCTGATCAGCCTCTTTCTTCCTTTGCAGTTCCTACGCGTGCGGACAGTTTCTGGCCCCACCTACTATTGCCGCACGGGGATGTCATTCAAGGGTCACGTGAAGGAGAAGTTCTTGCTGGTGGACTGCATGGTGGTGCTGAGTGGCAGCTATAGGTGAGCAGGGAGTGGGCGGGCTCATCGTGGGCATCCTAACGAGAACCTATAGAACCAATTTCTCCAAAGAGAAACTGCTGAGAAAGTAAGTCTTGACCATGGAACCTGGGTCCCACTGGGCCACCAGGTTAATAAAGTGGCCTGCTGTCCAGCTGGCAATTGACCCTAGAGGTCCCATGGCCAATGGAAACCAAGAGAGAGATCTCTGCCTGGAAGTGTTTAGGGCGTGGCAGGGTTAAGTGTGATGGGCTGCAGCTCATGGCAAAGATTCATTTTTCCTCCTGTTCCCTTTCCAGCTTCATGTGGTCATTTGAGAAGATCCACCGGAGCATCGCTCATATCTTCCAGGGTGAGCTTGTGGCCAGCTTCGACGAGGAATTCCGCATTCTTTTTGCCCAGTCAGACCCGCTGGTTCCTCCGTCCAACATTTTAGTGAGGACCGAGGCTCCGGTGGGGCCCTACAGCATGGCCTCCTTTGCCAACAACATGCCCTTCTTTTCAAAGAAGCCTCCCCTGCTTTTCCCCCGAGAGGACAACCTTTTCTCACCTTTTATGGATCGGATTGACCCAGACAGGTATTTCCTGTCTTCTTTTAGGAAAGACGACATGCTGCGTCATACTTTAGAGGGCTCGGCCATGCGAATGTACTCCAAAAAAATGGAAATGGAGAACTGCCAGGCGGACCCTGTCCGGGGCTACCTCCGTTCCAAGCAGCTGGAAATGGACTCCTTTAAAAGACACAGCTTTGCCGAAGGCACCTTTGAGAATTTTCAGTCCACAAAGCAGTTTTCTAAGCAGTTGTACATGAACAACTTGGACGAATTTAAAATTCAGTCCAGTCATTTTCAAAAAGATCAGTTTTATCAATATCAATTTGAACATCCCCATGGAGCTAACAGGCCCCAGGGGCTTTTTGAAAGAATCCGGGGAGGCAGAGCAGGATTCAATGAACCAGAAGATTATGCAGATGGATTTAGGTGTCCAGAACTGGAATCCAATTTCCCCCAAGATGGGTATCCATTGAGGCTGGATTATGTGCCTTCCAATTCTTCTAAAGAAGTGCGACACGGCTCTGATCACCTGAATCCAGGAGGGAACGATCTCCTCGGTCTTCCGTCTCTAAGAAGGCAAAACATGGGGCAGAAGTTTATGTGCCAGACGTCGCCCACACAGAAGCAGAGCATTGAACAGAGGCTTTTTCTGCACGACCAAGGCCAAGACGTAGAGCAAGACAAGAAGGTTCAGGAGAACAGGGCAGGGTTACGCAACTGGAGAATTTCCTCCTACCTTAGCGGGTGTCAGTCTGACCCGGGAGAGGAAGGCCTTCCGATGCCCATGGAGTCGGAGACGCATAACGAGGTACTTTGTCCTCCAGAACCCCTTACTAGATATCCCAGCGACCTCCTCACCACTTTCAAACCTCCGCTTCCAAATGCCAAAGACATTTCTGGAACCGAGAGATTGCCAGAAGAAACCTCGGTGGTGAAACAGGATCCCTTCCGGAGCAGGATAAATCCCTTGATCCAGAGGAGTTCGCGACTTCGATCTTCTCTTATTTTTAGTGCTGCCAAATTAGACCAGCAAAACTCATCCGCTGAGAAAGTCCAAATGGTGCAAAAAGAGCAGACCTCCACCGAAATGACCAGGGACGCTGAAACCATTAAAGCCACCTCTGTCTCTAAAGTGGCCGAGTTGCTGGAAAAGTACAACTCGGTGGGGAAAGACTCACAAAGCGCCACCCTCAGCCACACCAAGGCTATGTCTGCGTTTCTCCAGGAAGAATCCCAGAACGCAGAAAAAAAGTGCACAAAGTCAGTGCAGTACAAGATTCTGGAGAGCCGGATGCTGGACTCCAAGGACTCCTTCAGCCCTTACAAGCTGCACCTGGAGTCGGAGGAGCAGTTTGGAGGGTCTGCCTCAGCGAACGACGTGCTTAGCAAGGACCCCACGGTCCACGGGAGCAATATGACGGACAAGCTTGCTTCTCGGTTCTACCCAACAGACCCACCCAGTCTTCCAGAGAAAGAGAGCCTAATATTTGTGGGAGAAACTCAGAAACTTGCCGTGGCAGACAGGAAGGAAAACGTCTCTTTCAAAGGAGGAGACGGACCTGAAAGCGAAGACCACAAGCCAGCACAGGCCCCGCTCGGCACCGTCTCCTCCAAGGGCTCTGACAGCTCTCTCAGTAAGCCCGAGGAAGAAAGTTGCAAGCAGGAACAGAGCCCAAGGGAGTTTTTTAGGAAGGGGTCTCTCAAGCTAAAGCAGTTGCTAAATCCCAAAGCTGAGAAAAAAACAGAGGAAGAAGCAGGCCTGGAGAGCTGGAAGCCCGATAAGTTGAGCACAGGAGCCCTCAAGCGAATGTCCCGGAGCGACTCTCAGGAGATCATAGAAGAGGAGAAAACTCCCAAACTGGCTGCACCGGTGCCCGTCGTCAGGGCGAACCCAGCACCTCAACCTCGGCTGCCCCCCTCCACGGCCAACGTCCTCTACAGCAGCAACCTCCGAGACGACACGAAAGTCATTCTGGAGCAGATTTCGGCCAACAGCCAGAAGAACCGGGCAGAGCTGGCCAGGCAGCTTCCAGCGGCTAGTAATCCTGACCTGTCCAGGTCCGCCACAAGTTTAGAGCGCAAAGGGGACGAGAGGAACACGGGGATTGGCAGATCAGAAAGCTTTGGGAGCCATAAGCGGGGCTCGCAGAGGGAGCCTTCGGAGGACCGGGATTCTCTTCTGAAGAGGATGGAGAGCATGAGGAAGGAGAAGCGTGTCTACAGCCGCTTTGAGGTTTTCTGCAAGAAGGAGGAGCAAAGCGAGGAGGAATGCGAGACGGATGCCAAAGACAAGAAGATGGGGAAGTTCATGCCAAAACTCCTGGGCTCCTTCAAAACCAAAAAGTGACTGAGGAGGCTTCTAGGGATGGCCCTGCCTGAGACCAAGGTTTGTGGCAGGCCTTCCTTGGCAGGCCTTCCGTTTCCAAGCCCATTCTAGCAGCAGGACAGCTGGGCTGGGGCTGGGGGAGTGGGGAAAGGGGGGCACCAAGCAGCAGGATTAAATGACCATTGGGGGAGCTAAGAGGCCAGCATCCCACTAGAGGTTAACTTTCTTTGGAGGGGCTCAAGATTAGCCCCACACCTAGGAACTCCCTCAAGAGAGGGGAGAAAAACACAACAATATGAATGAAGAGGCAGCAGTTGGCAACACAGCTGCTTTTGGGGCACGTTCCATTCTTAGGGGCCCAGCTGCGGGCAACCATCCCGGGCCACTGCCAGTGAACTTTTCCCCCTGCAGCAGCCCTTCCTCCTTTAGGGCCCACCATTTTACTGGACATTTTCTTTGTGGGGACAAGTCCATTTGTGGTGGGGCTGGGGAGAGGCAGGACTAAGGAATCCACAAGGGGAGGTGAAGTCAACACAGAAAAACATAGAGGTCATTGCTCCAATTCATTAGAACGGTGATTCCCAAAACTGGGCAAATTATCCCAAATTGGGTAAAAGTGATTTTTCTTTGGGTAACGGCACACAACCCCATTACCCAATCGCAACAGAGTCTTTTAAATTGACTTAAAGTGGTTTTCCTACATTGGGTAAAAATGACTTTCTGATAGGAGGTTTTTGAGTAATGAAGGAAAAAGTTTGGGAAGCCTCGCAGGAGAATCTTTTTGCTAGATGACCTTCTTGCTGGAAGACCTCCAGTAAATTTGCCTCACAGGCCAGCCTGACCTCCTCCTTGTTCTTTGAGCATCCTGGTTCTGGTCCTGCCCTCTGAGAGCCCTTCGGATGTGGGAAGACCGACCTCGTGTCTCCCTGCTGTAGGTTAAGCATATCCAGCTCTCCCACCGTCTCTCCTAGAGCTCTGGCAGCCTTTTGAATGACGCAGGCCACGGTGGGATACAGGCCTCCAGGTGGGGATTGACGAAGGCAGGGTAGAGTGTTTACTTCTTGGGATTTGGATTTTTATGTTGCTGCAAATGCACCCAGGATAGCATTTGCCTATTTAGCAGCTGCTCATGTATAGTTGATGAGAACACCAGGATCCCCTTCACATGCACTATTATCAAGTCACGCTTACGCCATCCTGGAATAGTGCCTTGCATGTTTCCCACCAAGATGCAGAATTTAGTGATTCTGCCATTCTAAACTCTTCATTTCAGCTCACTGTTCAGGCTGCTCTAGATCTTTTCAAATCTTCTCTCTTGTCAGGTACTTTCCAAGTTTTCTCCCCACACAATTCCCTCCTCCAAGCCCTTGATAAAATGAGCTCTGTGCCTCGCCCCCCCTCCCCCCCCCCGAGCGTTACGGCTGGATGAAACTACTGTAAAATGGACTCACCATTGGCTGAATGATTGTACCCCCAAAGAAGTGATTTCTAATGGCTGCTCTTCAGCTTGGAAGGAAGTCTCTAGTGAAGAGTGTCTAGAAACACTCTAAGAATTTGTTGAGATACAGGTTTATGATGTTTAAAAGATTCCCTTCATCTACAAAGCTAGTAACTCTCTCCAGGATTATAGTCTGGGATAATTTCTTTGTGAAACACCCCCCACACCCCCGCTGGCTCTTCTTAACTGTTGTATTTCTTTCTCAAGTGCACACAAATAGTCTGTTTGAAGACAATGCCCAGAAGAGGTCAAAGGTACAGATCAGTAGTTTCTCAAGTCCTTCTCTTTCCCTTTTTGAAGGTGGAATTTAATAATAGAATAAGAGTTGGAAGAGACCTTGGAAGTCTTCTAGTCCACCCCCCTTACCAAGCAGGTGAACCTATACCATTCTATCCAATCTCTTTTTAAAAACCTCCAGTGATAGAACACCCACAGCCTCCAGAGAAAAAGCTGTTCCACTGAGTAATTGTTCTCATTGGCAGGAAATTTCTCGTTAAGATTTGATTTTCCCCAGTCTTCTCCAACCTCTCCGGTCTTCCAGAAGTTCTCAGAGGTTACCAAGAATATTCTGCAATCACCCTCAACACCCAAGATTGTAATCCGTGTGGCTCTGGAGCAGTCAAAATAATCTAATTTCTCTCTTGTCCTCATCTGTTGGGGTTAGGGTTAGGCAACCAGAACCACCGGTGTGTAGGCCCAAATGGATATTATATTGTTGATTACGGTACCTATTATTACAAGAATCCTGCCAGACTGTCTGTCTTCCCTTGGGAAACCGCTGGTGTCACCCCAAACAGACTCTAAACTGGATTGTCTCTTTATTCCCTGAGAAAGACGGCTAAAGCCTCCCCTTCAGCTGATGGTTCCACCACATTTGTCCCGAAATGCAGTTTCCTCATAACCGTAGCACCATTTTTATTCTGGGGGAAGATGCAAAGTAAGATGCTGCCTTTGCACCCATCAGCCTTAAGCGGTTTCTTCTTACGATGGGCCTACAATCTGTTGGGCTTTATTTTTTGACACATTTATTGTTCCTCTTTCCATGTTCTGTATACATCTCTTTTTCTCTTCAGCATTTGAAAGAACTCCCATATCCTTGCTGGCTTCCTCAAATTCCCCCCACCCAGCACCCACCTTATTTTTCTTTTGTTGGGTTATTTCTGATAGTCCGTTACAGGATTTCTTAGAATTCTTCTCATCCTTCTCGGATTGTTTGCTCCTTCAGGATTTCAAGTGATTGGATCTCACCTAACTTCCCTTGGAATTTAGATAATTCATTCCAAAAGTTTCTCTCTTCAGTTCCCTTTCCAGATATCACAAACTCAAAGATAACATAACTTTGCCTAAAGTGTCAGTTATCTTCACTTCTTTCCTGTGGCTGCTGCAAGATCCCTCTCCACCTTCCTAGACCGTTCCCAGGTTTCCTTCCTGGGGGGGGGTGGGGGGGTGGGAACGACAGGGGCATATTCCCAGCGAGCTCTGGTACAGAGACCAGAGAGTGCATTGCGGTCTTTCTCCTCAGATTAAGGGCTAGGCTGAAATGAACAGAGCCCTGTAAAGAAATGTTAAGGAACATCTATTTAATTACGTTGTCTTGCTTGGCCTTGCTAGGCTGGAAGGGATAACAGGCATGGCTGCCACTTGTAATTCATGGGCTTGCTGATTGTGGTAGAAACAGTGAATTGGCCAGAATTGGGCCTCCTGTGCCTAGTCTTGGCACGTGACTAGGAATACCTGAGAGTCTCCAAAAAGGGATGGAAAAACTCCTGGAGGTGATCAAGGTAAACAGCTGTGAATTTGATTCATGTAAGTGACATCCCACATGGTATTAGCAAGACCCACAAAGGACGTTAGCCGGCAGCTTAGTGAAGCCATTAAAATCTTAAATAGGGAATCCTTTATTCCTTTTCACCTTTCTCTATTCCTTTGTGACTTAGCACCCAGTTTTTAAGTGTGTGGTTCAATTTATTGTTCCCAACCAGAAGACTGGTTAATTTAGTCTTCAAATGAGGCATTTCATGTGAACAGCATCCTCACCTTCCTAAAATATCTTCCTTGATGGGAAGCAACCTAAATTATTGCTGTTTCTTCCTGGTTGTCCCCCCCCATCTCTCTTTCCCTCCCTCCCTCCTTCCCCCATCTCTCCCTCCCTCCCCACTTCCTTCCCTCCCTCCCCCCCCTCTCTCACACACACACCCCAACTGGTCTGGTAAATGGTATACTAATCTTTGTTGCTCCACTTCAATACTAGGTCAAAGAAGGTACGACAAATTCATTGAGGATCTCAACTCATTGAGAACTTATCCAGATGCTGTACTACCTCTATGAGCAAAACCACTTGCTCCCATAGCCAGCCATTGAAGGCCAAGCTCTAGATCTTCCTGGAAATGCTGTTCAGCAGTGGAACCACTTGCCCAGATCTCCCCCTTCCTGGAGGCTTCCAAATGGGGCTGGTTGGCCACCTCTCTGGAATGATTTGGAGGGTTTCTTCCTAAGGTCTCTCAATGCACGCATTCTGTGACCTTTTGTCGGACTTTCCAAAAACATCAGTTGACTTTCATGGACAGGATGCTGGACCTTTGGTGCAACCTATTTCAGGGCTCCTTGGGTAGTCTCAGGAGTCTAGTGCTTATTATTAGTTGGGATTCTTCAGGTAACTTAGACTAAATTACCACTTTATAAGTACTTTATAAGTACTTAGAGAAAATGAAGGGTTTTGGCCAAGGGGCTGACACCCGAAGACAAGTTACCCGAAGACTTCCCTTGCTCAGGCCATTGTTTCAAGAGCCAGCCTTCTTCCTCCTGATTATGTTCAATTGGGCAGTACTTAAATCTTTGAAAAAGGGCCGGCAGAATTGTTCTAAAAGTATTTGGGAAGAAAAGAGAGCTCATTGGGGACGGGGACAAATGGGTTTATCAGTTGTCCAGAGGGCTGATAATTCTGCTTAAAGCAGTTATAAATTCTGTGACTGGAATAAACTATGCAAATGTACATATATTTCTGGTAATTGCTTTTTAATTGTCAAGTACATGACGCTTTCTTTTGCATGGGTAGGGATTCAGGTTTTAAGTTTGAGGAAAACAAAGGATGCAGTGGGTGGAGCCAGGCAACAGCAAAGCAGTGGTGAATTACTGGATTTATGGATAGTATGAGATCTATAAAGTTCATTAAGTTTATTTTAAAGTTGCCTGTTTCCTACCTCAAAATTCAAAACAAAAAGCCATCACTGTCTTTGGATGAAACTGAAGTTGGTACGATTTTGTTCTTTGGTTTGTGTGGTTAAGGCATAAGGTTAAGGTGAAGGTGCTTCATCAGCACCAGACAGGGTACCACGTGTACCACTGAGCAAGCTCCAGCCTCAGGTACCTTACTGGTATGTGTATTCCTGGTCACCTAAGAAAAGTCTACACATATCCCTACACAGAGCACACCATACTTTGTGGCTATGGGCTAGCAGAACCGCAGGACTGGAAGTGGGCTTGGGCTTCCATGACAGAAGTACCCCAGCTCTTCTTCCCAAGCTAGACATGGTAAGCTACTTCGGTTTGTTAACAGATGTTGGGTGGGCTAACTTTAAGACACTTTAGAACACGTGTCCCCGATGGGCACATTACTGATTCCACATTTCAGCAGAATATCTTTTTAATACAACTCTTGATTCCAGCACAAAGTGCCAGAGATGCTCTCCCTTGACCATAATTGTTTCTCCATGGGGCAGACTAGGAGACCTCTCCAACCCTAATCTGGAGCAAGTAGAAATGTGCTTATTGTCTTTCCATTCTAGGGAGGGTCAGCGTAGGTTAGTCTTGGAGAATGTGAGCACGGGAAATCAATTCCTTAACCTCCCCACACTTCATCCATCCATTCACACGCATACAGCCTCTCCATCTGGGTACGTGGGGGAATCTAATTTGCCTCTGGAAGGATGGGCCACAAAACCACTCCTGCCCTCAGGAGATTAATGTCAGCCTCTGGCATAAAGTCTTGGAGAATGAGCTGCGGGTTGGGGGAAATGACCTTTGGTTCATGTTTAGTAACTGTGGCTCCCACTCTCTTCTCTGGTCCCAATTCACGCCAGCAAAACACACCTTGTCATAAGTTACTTTTCTCTCGTTAGCTTTAGTCAGTCACGCTAGGAAGAATCAGGCTTTTCCCTCTGGATTTCCTTACTCTTAACTAGTCAAGAAAACAAAAATACCCAAGTGTCCTTGGTGTAAGGGGACCTGATGGCCAGTCAAGCTCACCACATACGCATGAGAGATCACTAAAATACAAAAATGTTTTAGTCTGATGCTTCTAAGGGATAACCATGGTAAAGATGGATGCACTACCTCCATCCCACTCCCACCAGAGAACATTCATGAGTGCAACCAATGTTATTTCTCTTCCTTACCCAGGCTTGAAATCTGACTGAAAAGGGTCGAGATAATCAAAGGATCCTGGAGGAAATGGGGTTGTAACGCTACCACCTTCCCTAAAAAGGAAAGATGAGTGCACGAAAATTGTCCTGAACCATGGAGTTCAGCAGTGGCTTCTTGAGGAGGGAAGCATTTCTCCAGTGCCTCTTTAAAAACAAAGAGGCTTTTTTGTCCCCCGCACCTATAGAATCTGAAGGCCTGGTATTTTAACCATAGTCCAGTGAAGGCCTGGTCAGTGAAGACCAGGTACTTCAATATTAGCTCATAGAAGAGGCTCAGGTAAAACTATGCTTTATAAAACTTTACTTCATATCATCATCATCATCATCATCATCATCATCATCATCATCATCAT